ATTTGCCTTGTAAATGACATGTAATTATATCGAGGTTTCTTCTGTTTGCTAAACTCTTCATCCAAATGGCATTTCCATATTATGATTATGGAACAAAAAGTAGAAAAGTTGAAGAGAGTTGCAGGAGCAACTTCAAGAACAGGTATTTACACTGTTTGAATATGTAGGTTGTGCAGGTAGTTTGAGATTTTTTTACAAATATTGTCTATTTTACTAGATATTAATTTATTATAATATTTTTTTCCGTTCTTAAAAAGAACGAGTGGGAAAGAGGGAGAGAGAGAGAGAGAGAGATGTAAGAAAGCGTAATACAAATATTTCAATATCCTGACTGAGATTCTGAGATTGATTCAAATCGAAGAAAATCAATTTTATATTTCCAACTAAAACAGAACAAGAAATACCCTTGACCCTAACATGCAATAATCTTTAACATTTCGCTGTTACTACTATTTATACGTAGGTATAATTATGTTTTCTGTTATGTTAAATTTGTATATTTGATTTGTGTTATACTGACCATAATTATAACAGGCGAACCAACCCCTGATATCCTTGCATGAAGAGTTACAGTGTTATAGTTATGATACGCTATAATATTGCTTTATCGGTTATTTTTATTTGGGCAGTACTTATATGGTGATTATGATTAAGTACAACATCGTTTATATTTATATTTAAAATGTTAGAAGCAACTAGAATAACACTTACGTAGACTAGTGATAAAACCTATTTTCAATATTAGGTGGAAGTAAATCATTTTACAAGAAACTGGCGATTTTATGAAGGTTACTAATATATACATTTAATAATATTTACTGTATTAAGATTATATATTAATTAAGTATCTGTTTTTTTATCATTTTTGTATATTTAAAAACAAAACTAACTATTAATTGACAAATTACAAGATATCATTTTTTTTTGTCATGGTAAGCAACGACATCTGTGGATATTTGTTTGTAATATTAAGAACTAACGGAGAATTCGTCGAGTACGCTGATTTGTGAAAGTTCTTGTTAGTTCGGTTGTTCGAAACTTGTGTTGTGGCGCTATCAAAAATGTGTAATTATACAAATTGAAATCAAATGTCGAAATTATAATTTGAGGCGTCAATATAATATAGAATGGCATAGATACAGCAATCGAAGTAGAGATTTTGTGACAGTTTTTTGAATGGGTAAAAATGGAATGGTAACGCCGCCTGCGCTATCGGTATACGCTTTTTTTTTCTTTTTATACCACTGAGGTGGCAAACAAGCATACGGCCCACCTGATGGTAAGCGGTTACCGTAGCCTATGAACGCCTGCAATACCAGAGGTATTGCAGGCGTTCATAGACGCGCGCGTTGCCGACCCTGAAGAAACCTCTTTACCCCCCTTTTGAAGAACCCCATGCTGTAGTCTCTCGGGAAAACCTCGGCAGATGTTAGTAATGGAGACTGAGAATCCCATTGCTAGCAATATACCCGACCTCCTCGCGGTTCCACCTGGAAACTATCATGGTTAATTCCTGATGAATTCATCATGTTGGGCTAACTGGCCTATTTTTATTCTCATCAATCACCCTTCACTGGTGCTCCGTCAGCGTATCCCATTGGCGCAGGTGGGGTAACCATTCCATTTTCACCCATAAAAAAATACCTATTCGGTAGTTAGTGCGAATGATATGACAACATTAATTAAAATTATTTTCATCAATTATGGTGACATAAAACACAAAATAAAACAAAGATAAGACAAAATGATGGCGATCTAGCTAAAACACGAACTTGTATTGTTATTATTATTATTATTATTAGACTTTTATAATTACTTTTAATGATATGGTTTATTTATCTGTTCTTTGTATAGTCAGCGGTCGAGTGTGGACGTTAGGATACCATAACACAGTGTATCCTAGTACGGATTCTGTCCACTTCCTGTAGCAGTCTATATATATTCGATTTTGTTAAATGTATAAATCAAGTGCCATTGTGATAGAAATAAAAATATTATTATTAAAAAATAAAAAAAAGTTTAAATAATTATATAAACCACACGTCAATTTAGAACTTTTGCTTTAAATTATCTTTAATTACAAAATAATATTAACTAGAAGTCTCGACCCCAGCGCCATCTAGTATTTCGTGTTTAATTCTGTTTAGAAACCAATCCTAGAGTCGTACGTGTAGTATTTTATGAAAAATAAATTTAGGATACTTTCTCCTCTCCTTTATTTTTTCAGCGGTGCCATATTGACTATAGGTACTTCGAAGTATTGAAGTGTATTTACAGTAAGGCTACGACGTCTATCCGAGTACAGAATCAGTAGTACGAAACCCATCCCAGTGCAGAAATGTATAAGACAAGGTATAACATATCCCCGAAACTCTTCACAGCTGCATTGAAAGATGTTTTCAAACTCCTTGACTGGAAAAGATATGGTATAAACATCACTGGCGAATACATCCTCACCTTCGATTTGTCGATGACATAGTAATCATGATTCAGGACTGTTCCTTATGGTAGTCTATGAGGGAGGTCTAGTGAATAGATAATGACTGAGATGATGGTGAATAAAAACATTGTTTTTTATGAATATATTTTGTTGTATCTGTCTGAGTATTTTCTATATATAACATGTGCGAAAAAGGGATTGTTAGTTATAGGATCTAGCTGCCTCATGCCTAGCAGTATATCAGGTCGATAGCGCAGAGAGGAGACCTGCTTTTACCATCAGGGGACGGGTCGCTGCCGTCAGAGGTGTGGTGAGTGCGAAAGCGAACCCATGTCTCCGACATATAGCACCTCGAAGGTATATCGTCTGGTTTTTGGTGGGTACACACCCCACCTTACGGGGGGATTCCCACAGTACCCATTCACCCCCCACAAGGTGTATGGGTCTGCATAAAGCATTTTCCAGACGTTACAAAAAAAAGGCGATAGCGCAGGCGTAATTATTATTTTATTTTGATTAGGATCGGACTTGGCCGGAAGGACTCGGGTGGCTGACCACAAGCCCGGGGCCCGAAACTAGACGATGGTAGTTGCACCAGTTGGTAGCGGCACTACAAGCTCCACAAGTCAGACCCATGAGGGGAAGGAATTGTTAGTAATGGGAACTAAAACCCCAATGTTAATAAGTCCTGTCAGGTTGACCTCCACGCGGTTCTCCCTGGAAACCATTGTGATTAATACTTATCGCATTCATCACGATGGGCCTTCTTTCATGCTCATCTATCATTTCCACTGCTGCCCCGCCAGCGTATATCGATAGCGCAGGCAGGTTTACCATTCCATTATCCATTAAGGAAAAAGCCCATGGGGGCCTACACAAGCTGGGGTCCGGCTGGCAAATACCACCTCGACTATATGGCCAATGTGACGCTGAACATGACTTAGGTACTATACCCGTCGTTTATAAACATAAACAGCACCATAATAAACATTACAGAATACATTACTTTAATGATCATGATAAAACTCATGCCTTACTATTCTTAAGGGTATATAAACCCTCACTCACTCTTTAAATCAAGATATAATCAGACAAGTACAGCTAAGTGGCAGAAATATGAATAGAATAGAATTAGTCAAGTAGAATGGTGAGATTGCTCTATTAAATATATTATTTCTGGATGGACTTTGGCTGCTTGATGCTGCCGATTGGTTACATTGTTCACTTTATTGTTTTCTCCAAGACAGATCGTCGATGCTCGAAGTTACTAAGTTCCAAAACTTACAATTTTAAATTATTTATATTTTGTTCATCAGTGGACGGTTGAAAGCTTATATGATGATGATGATGATTAAATATTATAAAGTATACTAATCATTCTATGCCGTATGGTATCGGCATATGATGGGTCATCCTTTCCCTTCCCGTGGGTGTCGCTTACGACACCCACGGGCGACTACGGGAATTTATTAGTTGAGGAATGGTCAGCAGCAATCCCAAAACATCTCCAAACCTAATTGCACTTGCCAACCCGTCTACCAAACGTAACAACTACTAGCAAAACCCCTTAATAGGGAGAGGCCTTAGATTATATAGATAAAGTCTCAAAAACATGTCAACTTTTTGTCAGCTAATTGTCAAATTGGCTGACTCTTTTTTTAATTAATGTTCTATATACTTACGCACACAATATATCTTAATGTATTTATATTTAAAAATTTAATAAATAAAATGTATTTGAGCATTAAATGGGCGCAGAATTTATAAGACAAAATAAATTTAAAAGTTATAAAGGAATTACTCATACGAGTAATTACATATATATCATCCAAAATTGTATGAAAAAGTTGACCCGCTTTTCTCGAATCATTTGTATGGAGATACTCTATCTATATAATCTAAGGGGAAGGAGAATGTTCAGCAGTAAACAGTAAACGCCTGTTATGGTATAGTATTCTAGTCATTTTATTCATATTGCGTGTAATTTTATTTTAAATGTTTAAACGATATTATCAATTAAATAAAAGATTATATATTATATCACGAAACTGTGACTCTCTCGATGGTTCTGCTTTCAAAATAAGATATTCTATACATCATATTTGTGTTGTACTGCCTTATATTACCATATTGTGAATGCATGACAGAAATATGTTTTAATCTATAACCTGCAACTGTAAAAGAGCGTATAAGCGGTTTTGATCTATATGTTAGTATTTTCAAAAAGTCCTCTGATTCAAAAATTTGCTTTTAGGGATTTTGTAATCAAATTATTAATATATTACCATAAACATTATTTCTTATTTTTATTTAAACGCGGAAAAAAGAACGATATAATTAAACCAAATTATTAAACTAATATTATACTTTTAATTTGAATAAGGCATGAAGTAAACTCACTTGGAGTTTACTTAGTCTCCACTTCGTATATCTCTAAAATATATGAAATGAAATTATTATTTTATAGTATAATATATTAATAACATTATAATATGCAGTAACAATGAACAAAGTACCATATCTTGATATAAATGTGTGTAAATAAATAAATAAAATAAAGTTTACGGTTCATTTGAAATATTTTATTTAGAAATCATTTTCACAGACAGCTAGACGATAGCTAGACTCGGTAAAATATAATTAAACAAATAAAATTAGATTCATTCCTTATTGAAACTGTATTTTTTTGAAATAAGTAGCAGGATGTTTACTACCATCACTTAATTTTATTATTATTGCTACAACTTTAAATAAATTAAATGAAAAAATAACTATAACCAGTGTGCACAGACGGAGATTGGTACGAATTAATGCTACCGTTTTAATTCACGTACCTTATCCATAATGACAAACGATTGCAAAAGTCTATAGTGAGGCTTCCGTACCTATCTCAATCTGCTTTTTGATAATTATACCTACTAGCACTTTAATATCAAAAGTTACAAAAGAGCCTACATTATATTCAGTATCGTTACTTTCACATTACAAAAGGTTTTTACAAAACATTGATCATTGTCACTAAATAAGTGCTAGCAAAAATTGAAAGTATTTCTCGAATTAGGGAAAACAAGATAAAACAATCGTTTTCCGTAAGACGTGAATATAGGAAAAGTGTCGGCCAAGGCTTAAACTACGCACTATGCGTCGGCCGATACTTTTCTAGTATTGTAATGGGCCTTCATTTACTTCTAAATTATAATAGTCACTGGTCTCAAAACATGGCTTAAGTACTATACACCTAAAATATATAAATTATTACAAATTAAGTAAGGCATTTACAACATCAGGAATTCTTATGTTACTTCATATTTACACGATACTAGATCGCTTATTGTAACATCGTGTAAAAACAAAGAAATTGACTAAAATTATTATCGGTAAAACAAGTTTACTTGTAAAATGGTCAAGATTTCGGCGATCTACTGACCAACGAAGCTTGAAGTATAAGTTAAAGAATAATATAATTATTTATTTATATACCTGTGATATTTTGTTAGCTTCGCTTCGCTTTGGTCATTACGAAATGTTTTATGAAACATATAACAATCCATCGAATGCCTAATGTAATACAGGCGTACCTAGTCGTTTACAACTTAGCACTATCGTTTGGCACTGACTTGTTTAAAAACATAAATAATAATAAATTAGTCTTAATTCAAGACTTGAAGAAACATTTGTAAAAAAAATCAGATTCAGAAAATTATTATTTAAATTTAACAGTTTGATCACAGTCATGATTGTTTCTTTAATATTGAGTTGTGCCACGACACTTTATAAAAAGTAAAATAATTATTATATATGACACGAAATCTTAAACTATTCCATCGGGATTTGAGCATTATTATTGTGCATTGAAGAGTAGATGGAATTTTTATCACATAGGTGATGTAATCATGTAACATGTAATCATGTAATCATGTAAACATGTAATCCTTGTGATGATATATTCGTGAAATCTGGCGACAGACCGAAGGTATTTCACCTCCGCCTCTTGGCGGACACGGCGGCTGCTATCATTTGTCTTAGCATTGGCTCTGGCGTACATGCCTTAGGGTCGCATTTCATCTGGCCGTCACCTCCACATCTGCAATTAAGTGAACAAATTACATCATTATTATAACATAAAAACTGGCATTATTACTTGTCATGCCAAAGGGAATAATCAACTACAATAATATCAATTTTGTAATTTAAAACACTACGAAAACAACGACAACAGTGTGTTCAGTTATGACAAACGGAATTTAATTTTAAATTCTATATGGTAGTTGTATGGCGCCACTTTCAAATGTGAATAATTTTTGGCAGAGCAATCGTTTTTTAAAGTCGTTGTCGTGCAGTATAAATGCTTATTTATAGAAATTGAACTCAACCTTCTTAGGTGAATAATTTTCAGAAAAAATACTCGCCTTTTTGTTGGTAAATAGAAATTTTAAACAAATTTGTGAAAATAGGGTGAAAATAGTAACCCCGTTTACGGTATCGGTATACGTTATCGGGGTATTAGTGAGTAACGAATAAATGAGAATGAAATGAACTTAGTTGTCTTTCACATTATATAGGTGCATTAAAGTTTAATAAATAATAAATAAGCACGTAGATGTATACATTACCAGAGGGAGACTTTGTACAAAAGTCGATTGCTTGGGTACCTCTGTCCCATTCGTGTTTCAACCGTGAAACAGTTGTGTTTGCATGGCTGTGTTTCGGTTTGAAGGATGGGATATGGTGTGAATTTACTGGGTACAGAGGAATAACATCTGAGTCCTTAGGAATGGCAACGCATGGGGGGTATCATGGGCGAAACAGTATACTCTGTTATATCCACGGTACTGCTTACCATATGTCTATAGGCGACGGTTACCACTTTCCATCAGGTGGGCCGTCAGGTTGTTTGCCATTCTAAGTTGTATAAAAAAAAAAACATTATGAAACACTTCACTACTTCATATATAATGATATAATTAAATGATAAAATAATGTACTTACGTGCAATGTAAACATGGTCCTGATGACGCGCGTACCACCTCGCCGACTTTGTATGAGTGTCCTTTGATTTGACAGCCTCTTTTATATGCTGCGCCTTTGTAAGCATGGGGCAAGAAATGTGGCGGCAATGTTGTCGTCGTCGTCGTTGTTGTTGTAGTGACATTAAGAGCAGTGGCCATAGATACTGGACACTCGTATCTTGGACAACAGAATCCTTGTATCGGTTCCTCGTGACAGCCGTGTATAGGAGGCGGACAACTTTGTTGTAAACAAATAATATCACTTCTGAAACAGAAGCAGAAATCACATGGATCATCCCTAGGTATTTGTTGTGCAGAAACATAGACTTTTCCTCCGTAACGACAAGTGCCCGGTCCGAATGGTTGATCATCATCAGCGTAATCGGATCCATAACCTCCACCAGCGCTTGGAACTTCGTGGTCTTCATGATCTTCTGGCTCAGGAACTTCGTCCGTAATAGGTATTTCGTTAATTCCTGGTTTCGGGATTTCTGGTTGAACGGTTGTTTCAGCTGGTACTTCACTAAGTTTGTCTTCAGTTTTAGTGGTTTTATCAAAGAGATTAGATTCTGTTGATGGTATTTCTTCTGTCCTAGGCGTTGACGTTTTTGTTGATGCAGGTAAGAATTCGCCATCAGCTTCAGTCACATCGTGAGCATGATCAAATTCAATAGGTTTGTCTGTACCTAAATCAATATCACCTACGGGTATCGCAGTAGACAATTTGTCAGAAATTAATAGAGTAGTTGGTTCTTCTTTGGTTGGATATATGGGAGATGATGTGATGCCTAATGCAACTTCGTCTTCTTTTTTAATATCTTCTTGAATCACAGGAACCTCAGATGCAGTTGAGGATGTACTTTCTTCAACAGCCATTGAAGGTGAAGTTGTCTTGTCTGTTACATATTCGGCGATAGTTGTACCTGAATATATATCTGTACTTGAAGGCTCAATAATAGTTTCATTTTCCATTGGTTTCAGTTTATGAATATCTGGATGGGTAGTTCCCAATATCTCTGTTGATTCCTTATCATGTTCTGTTTCCAGTCCATCTGGACTAACATTCGTAGGTATTTTATGAGATGTATCTTCATATTCTTGTTTTTCAGTTGTATATGTTTCAACTGTTGATGAAATATCACCAGGCACTTTGTGTGGTTCAATTTCTCCGATATCAGGAATCGGACTCGTTGATTCTTCTATGGGCTTTAATTCAACTTCTGTTTTTTGTGATAGTGGATATGTGGTTGAGCTGTCGTGAGATAATTCCTCCAGTGGTAGATTTGTAGATAATGTTTCATCTGGCTTTCGATCCGATGGTTGTATTGTTACCGGTGAATATTCAGATAATTCAGTTGTAGAAGTAAAATCTTCATGATGAGGTAATTTAGTTTCATGTGATATATTATCAATTGATGGGGGCAGTGATGATATTTCAGTAGGAGTATACTCTGCTGAAGAATGTATAGTCGAAGTTTGCTGATGTTCAAGTAATGGGCTTATTGTTGTTATTTTATCTGCCTCGTCGCCTGGAGCTATTTTGTCTGGCATTTCCTCACCAGGAGTTGAAAGTTCATCTATTGAGTGTTCAATTGGAGTTGAAACTTCACTTGATAAGTGTTCAACAGGCAAACTTGTAGTATAAATTTCATCTTGTGATTGTTCAGTTGATACAGATATAGATGAAATTTCATGTGTAAACTGTACAGGCAATGTAGTAGTATCGGGAATTTTTTCGGGTAAATTATCTGTTGATGGTCCTGCTTCATGTATTTTATCTGGGAACACTTCTTCAGTCAAAATTTCAACAGCTTGAGTTGATTTGTGTTCATCTTCAAATATTTTTGATGGTTCAGTGGTTACTTTTTCACTAGGTACGTGCTCTGATTCTGTATTAAATGTAAATGGAGATGATGTTTCATCCTCTAGTTTTTGTTCAAGTTCAGTTTGTTGAGGTAATGGACGGCTTGTTGGCGTTTCCTGTAATAATTCTTCAGAGATAGTTGTATGCTCAATTTCAACGTCAAGTTTCTGTTCAGTACCGATTTCGAGTGGTATTGATGTTTCAGTAGTAAGATCTTTTTCAGGTTCGGGCTCAAAATCATATTTCTGTGGGTTTTCAGATGTAAGTTCTTCCTTTATTGTGTACTTTTCATCGATATTCTGGACATCTAGACGTTCTGTTGTAGATTTTTCTGGTGATTCTGTAAGCTTTTCTTCTAATGGAGACTTAGTTGATATTTCTAATATAGGTTCAGTATGTTCTACTAATTCAACTATATCTGGGGTTGTGTCAGTTTCCGATATTTGAACTGGTGTTTTAGTCATATCGTCTTCGATTTTAGGTTTCTCAGTTGCTGCATGTTCTGGACTAGCAACTTCTGATTCTGATTCAGATGTCTCAGATCTTTCTGTGGTAGCTATTGGTATTGGCTGGATAGTTTCTTTTTCAATAATGTGGTCAACTTCTGGTTCTTTAAGTAAAGGTGATTGCGTTGTACGTTCTTCGGTTTCTTTTACATGAGATTGTGGTATTTCAGTTTCCTTAGAAATTTCAGGCTTTGAGTCATCAAATATATTTTGTCCTTCTATGTAACTTGGTTGTATTGTAGTACTTGGTTCTACTGACTCGATTGGAACAGAAGTTATAACCTCAGACATAGTAAATTCTTGAGGTAAATCTGTGACTAGTTTCTGTTCTTTAGAAGTTGTTATTTTTTCTGGTACTGTACTTAAGTCATGTAACTGAGTAGATAGTGATTCCGGTGGTTCTGTACTTACTTTGTCAAATTCTGATACCGGGATTTCAGTAACGGGTATATGTTCTATTGTAGTAACTGTTTGTTGATCTTTGTCAAACAATGACGGTTCTTTATATTGATGATCAAGCGAATCTGGTAATTTTGTAGTACCTTCTTGTTCAGTTGGAAGAGTTTCTGGTAACTTCGTAACTTTTTCTTTCTCTTCATCTAAAATTTGTCCTTCTTCAGTCGTAGAATAACTGGTGTTTTCATCTTTGATATCACTAATATCAGTTTCAGCAGGAGGAGTAATATCAGATATTGGTACTTTTGTAATTATCTCTTCACTAATATCTGTTTCTGGTAATTTGGTGTAACTATCTTTTTCTGTAGCCATTTTATCGGGTCTAGTGGTACTTCCTTCTAAGTCTGAAGTTACGGTTTCATGTTCTAGGGTATGTGCTTTAATTGTGGTGATTTCTGATGTTTCATAACCAGGTATTTCTGAAGTAGGAGAAATAAAATCAGGCATTTGTTGAATTTCTACTTCTGGTTTTTGTGGCTCTTCTATTATATCCGTTATTTCAGTAACTGATGACTCACTGTCAGGATATTTTTCGGTTTCTACACTTACTGTAGATGGATAAACAGGTATGTAATCAGGAGACTCTAAATCAATAGTACCGTTATTAGTTCCAGTTACAGGTATTTCATCCATTTTAATTACACTTGGTTCTTCTGTATCGATTTCTGGAATCTCTGTGAATATATCATCCATTGGTCTTTCTGATGGCTTAATCTTAGATTTATCCTCTGTTATTGATATTGTAGTTAATTTGTCGATACTATCTAGTGGTGTTTCCGATGCTGCGGTAGTTAAATATGTAATTTGTTCACCTACAGGTTCCTTTTCAGTAGGTCTTACTGTAGTTTGAACAGAAATTTCATCAGCTGTTGTAAATTTATCCTCGTGTAATTTTTCAATTTCTGGTGTCTCTGTATTTTGACCGTAAGTGTCAGGCAAATGTGATGACTCAGTCTCTGTTGCATGCAAAATTGTAACTTCAGTTTGAGGTATTTCACTAGCATCAGGTTTTTTAGTAATTACACTTAATGTTACGTACTCATCTTCCATTTTAGAAGACTCTGAGGTAACAATGACCGAATCTTTAGGTGACGTTTGAGTAGTTACTTCAATTTCTTGTTTAGTTATATCTACCTCAGCAATAGTTGCTTCTGTTTCAGTAATTTCCTTATCTGGTTTTGGAGACGTTTCAGTCGGTTCTTTTTCTTTAGGTTTTTCTTCTATATCTTTGTCAAAAAGCGTTGTTTCTGTTTGCGATTGTTCTATAGTTGTTTCTGATATCTCAGGAACTAACTCGCTTGTTTCTGTAACTGGAATATTGGATAATCTTGTTGTATCAGTAATCAAAGATTCAGTAGGTTCTTGTCCTGGTTTTTCTGTTATAATACGATGTGGCTTTTCAGTAACAATCTCTTTTTCTGTAACTTTTTCAACGTTTTCTGGTGTAGTTACAGGAGATTCATGCTCCATATTATCTTCTGTGTATATTCCAGGATATTGAGTTACTGCTTCTTCGACTGTGGGAATGGTGGATTTTCTTGTTTCTTCATCTTTAACTGTAATTGATGATTCTGTAAATTCTTGAGATTTTACAGTAATTTGTTCGTCACTTTCTGGTATTTTTGTTGCTAAAGCTATTTCTTCTGATTCACTCAAGCTAGATAGAGTTGTATATTTAGATTCTTCTATACTATCTGTTTTTTCATCTTGTATTTCAGTTACAACAGATGATTCAGTACTTTGTTCTGATATTCCTACTTCTGTTATACTTGTAGCTTTATCTGCTATTTCATCTGGTTTAGCTGTTGATATACTTTCATCTTGTGGTTTTGTTATTCTGTCTTGTGCTTCAGAGAGTTCCGCTTCTGTTGTAAGCGGTATATCTTGTTTTTCTTTCATATCAATTTCAGGAGATTCAGCCTTGTGAGAATCTAGTTCCGGTAAAGTAGTTGTGATGTCTGGTACTCTTAGAATATTTTCTGTTGTTGATTTAGGTTTTTCAATTTCATCAACATCTGAGGAACTAGGCAATTCAGAAGTATATTTAGTCGAATCCAATTCTGTTTCTACTGATGGAATGTCTGATATGGATTGAGACACGTCTTTATCAGATATTGTAGTCATAGTTTCTAATTCTGGTTGTTCAGATGAAACTGGTTTTTGTTGATCACATTCAGAACTAGTGCATTCAGGTTGCAATTTACTTTCAGTACCTGGAATGATTTTCTTTTTACATGACTCTTCAGTACAATCCTCAACATTTTCCTGTTCTGTTTTTTGACAATCATCACCTTGGCAAGGTTGTTGCTCTTGATCCAGTGAAGGTACACCACAGTCATTATTATTACAATTATCTTGTGATACTGAGCATGTATCATCATTACAGGGTTTAGACGTTTCAGAAGTACTTTCATCGCATTTTTCTCCATCCGCACAAGGTTGAATTTTACAGTTCTCACCTTCGCAAGGTTCTTTAATTTCTGGAGTAATTTCTTCACATTTTTCACCATCGCTACAAATTTGAGTAGGTCTAACTTTACAATTTTCACCTTCACAGGGTTTCTGAAGTTCTGGGGTAGTTTGTTCACATTTTTCTCCATCACCACAAGGTATTGGACTAATTTTACAGTTTTCACCTTCACATGGTTTTTGAACGTCTGAAGCAGTTTCGTCGCAAGTTTCTCCACTCTGACAAATTTGAGTCGGAACGACCTTGCAGCTTTCACCTTCACATGGTTTTTGTATTTCTGGTAAAGTTTCTTCACATTCTTCTCCGTCACCACAAGTTTGAGTTGAACTAATTTTGCAGTTTTCACCTTCACAAGGTTGTTTAGTTTCTGGAGAAATTTCCTCACATTTCTCTCCATTGTTACAAAGTTGAGTAGGACTAATTTTACATTTTTCACCTTCACAGGGTTTCTGAAGTTCCGGGACAATTTCATTACATATTTCTCCATCACTACAAGCTTGGGTTGGACCAGTTTTGCAATTTTCACCCTCACATGGTTTTTGAATTTCGGGAGCAGTTTCCTTGCATTTTTCTCCATCTTCACAAAGTTGTGTTTGGCTGACTTCACAATTTTCACCGTTACAGGGTTTCTGAATTTCAGGGGAAGTTTCTTCACATTTTTCTCCATCGCCACAAGATTGTGTCGGGCTAATTTTGCAGTCTTCACCCTCACATGGTTTTTGAATTTCGGGAGCAGTTTCCTTGCATTTTTCTCCATCTCCACAAAGTTGTGTTGGACTGACTTCACAATTTTCACCATCACAAGGTTTCTGAACTTCTGGAGTGATTTCTTCGCATTTTTCACCATTGCTACAAGGTAGAGTTGGACTAGTTTTACAGTTTTCACCGTCACACGGTTTCTGCACTTCTGAAGGTCTTTCTTTGCAATTTTCACCTTCACATATGGAAATAGATGAAGTCGTTTGTAAATTACAATCACCGTTAATACAATTTTCTGTAGAAATAGGTGTAACATGCGGTTTTTGTTCCTTCTGTAAGTCACACTGATCACCACGACATTCTGTTGTAGGCGTAGTAAGTGGACTTTCTGTTCCTGACATTTGACTATGTGCTTGGGGAAGAATAGTCTCGTGAGATTCATCGCATATATATGTTGGACAGCAAGCATCTGGAGAATCGTAAGTAGGAACACAACTGTTCATATATTCAGGTGGATAGCTACAGATTATTGGATCACATTTAATAATACTACTGACACATTTACATTCTGTTTGACATTTATTGGTACTAGGTACTACACTTTCATTTCTATACGTAATACCGTCCAATAAACAATCACCTTCACCTGGTATTCTACCAGGACTTTGTGAAGTAAAATCACCAATTTCATTTTCTTGAGTATCAATTGTAGCAAAGTCATTTTTATTTGGAGCAAGTGTTGTGAACTCCTCACCTAATACATTAGTAGTACGAGTAGATTCTTTTTCTAACTCACTAATGACAGTTGGCGTCGTCACATCTTGAACTAGAACCGTTTCTGCAGTCTCCTTAGAATGCTCACTTATCGAATCTATACTAGATTCAGGAATTGATACCGTTGTTATTTCTTGACCAATAGTAGATCCAATACTTTCTTTTGTAAATTCACTATCATAAGGTGCTGTTGTTTCTACAGGTGAACCGGTTTTATCTTTATCTTCCTCACTTGTTAAGCTAGTTTCTTCAGGAGATTTGTTGCTATCAATGACTGCGGTCTCTACAGGTAATGATGTTGTTAATTCTACATGTTCCGTAAAATCTGGCTCTTTGGTAGCTTTAGTTATATCCGTTATGGAAATCTCTGTCAAGGATTCAGTTGTTCCAATTGCTTCTTTTGTAATTTTAGATATTGGTGTAGATATTTCTATAGGTGATTCAGTTGTTAACTTATGAGATAGTGATTCTTCAGTACTTTCTTTGTCTGGTTGATAAATATCAGCTGGAATTGTGTATACAGGTGTTTCAGACATTATTGTCTCTTGAGTTTCAGTAGTCCTAAAGTTGTCTTCCGTAGAGTCAATAATGTCAGATGGTCTAGTTGCTGAAGTTGATAATATGTTTACGTCTTCTATTTTAGTCGTTACCGCATTTATTCTAGAAGGAGTTTCTGTTGTGCCTATTAATGTGGTCTCTTTTTCTGGCGTTTCATCGAAGACCATTGTTTTTTCAGTGGATTCTGATGTGCTAGTCTCTTTATCTTTATTTTGCAAGAAAATTTCAGATGATTCTTCGTCTTCTTTTCTATATGCAGGTTCAGTTGTATGTGTAGGACTTTCATGTTCTTTATCTAATAAAGACGTGAACTCTTCTTCTGGTTTTGATGTTTCTACGTCAGCAGGAACAGTATTAAACTCTTTATCTGTTTCTGTAGTTTCTTTTTCAATTTCTATAGAAGATAAAGTTGTGGAAACATAATCTGTTTCGTGTATATTTTCTGTAGTTGGAGATATATTAGCTACAGTTTGTTTTTTATCCTCATCTGATGATTCTAATATTACTTGTTCACTATCACCGCTTCCAGTTTCAGATTCTTCTTCTGGTTTTTCAATTTTGACCTCTTCATCTTGTTCATCTTTGTACCCACTACCTTCATCACTAACTCTTCTAGGCGGTGACAAGGTAGTCAACTCCTCTAACACTGTTTGTGTAGTCAGATCAGATGAAATTTCCGTAACTGGTTCATCACCTTCGCATATGTATGTATCTGGACAACATTGACCTTCACGAGGTGGCTGAGAAGTACAGTTTTTGCCCTCATTCTCCATTGGTGTTCCACATTCTTGTACAACACATACGATGTCACCTTTCATACAGTAACAATGCTCACAAGCCTTTTCCGTTTTTATGGATGTGCCATCAGGGAAAATTTGATCATCGTGAATACAGTCTTGTGTTATTTGCGTTACTGGTGCAACAGTTGTGGTAGTTAATAAGAAACCTGGCGTTGGTCGTACTGTAGTGCTCAAGTCATCCAAAAGAGGAACTTCATCCTCTGGGTGATCTGAAATTTATAAAGTGTAATGTTTAATATATATAATAAGTGTATAATGCAAACGTTACTTCTTTGTTATTATGTTACAGTCTTTCTTTGTTGAATGATGTACTGTGTATTATTTTATTTTATTGCACAGAATATATATTCTTTGACTTAATTATTCGAAAAATAACGTAAAGTAAGTACTTTTTGGCGTAAAGGGTTTGAAATGTGCAAAAAGAAATACGAAATATATGTAGGAACTGCTTATTACTTATACCTATCAATGCCTAATTGCAAGGTATAAATCTCTTTCTATTAAAGGAAAATATTAACCAGCATTGATTAATCGACTTAATATCGAGGATTTTTTTCTCTTAAGCTTTATTTTGTTAGTCGTCTGTTATTTTGTGCAGGAGTACGTACGTACGTACCTCTCTAGTGGCACTCGAAACACTACGTGACACAGGGAATAACTATCAAAATGATCAATACCACTATTACTGCTCATGTAGGATGTCGCACATTGGTTTTTAGTTTCTAAATCACTTTCATATTACATAATGATCTTTGCCGGGGTTCATTATACTCCAAAGCATAAAGTCACCGTAAATTATCAAATATAAAAAAATCAGAGGATTAAACATAATTTGCCTAATTAGCACTACGCGTAATAATCTATTCAAATATATAAAAGTAATATAATATTTACCACAAGAGTATCGTACAGGGCAGCAGACATCTTTATGGTAAATGGGTGTACAGCCATCTACATGGAGTGTACATTCTTGCATAACGCAAGTCGTCATATTTCGAATGCAATAACAATGTTCGCATGGCTTGTTCGGAGTTGGAGGCACTTTAGAACCCTCTGGGAAATATCTGCCATTGATGCTGCAACCATATTTATCCAATTTGCCCAGTCCAGTTGCTCCATATTCAGCTGGAGACGAGGTAGACGTTGATGTGAGTAGGTCAACTGGAACTGAGAAAATACATTATTATTAGTTAAATCGCCTAGTTAATACGTTTATGTGTGTATGTATATATATAGTTAGAAAATTTAACATTTACAATTATCTAGAGACAGAGATAAATTATAATTGAAGAGAAGGGTAAATAATAGTTAAAATATGGAAACATTAAATATTACACATAGCAATATTTTTATTATAGTTTTAGTAAAGCTTACCGTCAGGACAAGTAACAATGGGACAACACTGGTCTGCCCTTTTCTCAACTGTGCAGTCCTGACCTATAGGCTTAGTGAAGGGGCACACTCTCAGGTAGCACATAAGCATCCGATTGTGACAGGTGCAGTTGAGGCATGGTTCATTGGTCATAATCCTATCGCCTTCACCATAATGTTGGAAGTTGTAGTAACACCCTTCTGTTGCAGCTGAAAAATATATCAGATGCATTAATAATAAAATCTCGTTTTCTTCTATAAATAATAGTTTTTTTTTTTTACTTTTCTAATTCTTAATTTTATTGTAGGCGCTCAACTGTTACGCATTAAATATTCCTATATTATTTTATTGCATAATTTAAAAATACAATATACACGGGTATTATAATACAGTTTACCAACTGTTTTCATATTAATATATATCACAATTATAAAAACTGAATTTCGTCAAACATTATATGTATTTGTATTCGACATAACTATATGCACTAGTCTTCTCGGAATAATATTAGATTCGGCAACAGTGACTTACATCAGTAAGAGTAAGTCGGTAAAATGCAACACAAAATTTAAAGTTTGAAACGAAAAAATCAAAATAACAATTGTAGTCAATTCTTTAATATTATTGAGATAATATATAATTGCATATTGTGTATACATATAGCTTGTATACAACATTAAAAATCACTTTTATGTGATAGGAATAGCATCTTTTGTAAAATATTTATAATATAAAAGTAATGCTTACCACCATCATATAAATCTAATCCCGTTTGATTACTAGCCGTTGGAGCTGGAAATGAAAAGAGAATATAATTAGGTAAAGGTATTGATATTATTGGCTGTGTATCATTAAAGTTTATGGAGTAAACATTTTAATTTTAAAACAAATCAGTGTACTTCATAGTGGTAATTTGTAATTTTCTTATCGGCGCATGCGTTAAGTCGACGTGTGCAGGATAAGTTCCGCTTGCGTCTTGTGACTATAATATGATATATAATAGTCGTCCCTTGTAGTTCATTACCACCATATTAAGCATATATAGAAAAAGTTGTGAAGCAGTTGTGTTTGCATAGCTGTGTTTTGGTTAAAAAGGTGGGATATAGGATATGAATTTACACAGAAGTCAGGTTATTCCTCTGTACCCAGAGGAATAACCTGACTCCTTAGGAATGACAACACATAGGGCGTATCATGGGCAAAACGTATACTCATGGTACTGTTCATGTTTATAGGCGACGGTTACCACTTTCCATTAGGTGGACCGTCAGCTTGTTTGCCATTCTAAGTTGCATAAAAAAAATTAAATCATTATTTGTATATAAAATTGGAATCTAATTAATACTTATTTTTTAAACTGCATAAAAGTAGGTTATACACTAGATAAACGTGGATATTGGTATATTATATAGTATTATATATGACAAGATTTTATAGATGTCAATGATAACATTTAAAGAAGTCCGCAAGGCTGGCAGTTTTAAAACATAATAAAATAGTATAATATATAGTCTAACTGCGGTGGTCAGCCCGTCTGCCAAAAGTGGCAACTACTAACAAATCCCCCTCCTCCAATGGGAAGGCTTATGTTCATCAGTGGACAGTTAAGGGTTGATATGATGAAGGATCCATAACTTGGAATAAATCTACACAAAAGAAGAAGAAATTTGCAAGATATTTGATTGACATATTGACAAGGCAATGGTGGTATTTGACAATATTCATGGAAATATGAAATAACAGGTTGTAATTTTCTTGTAAAATTCATATGTAAATACGCAATATTCGCAATGTATGATATCTACGAAATAAGTCGTTTTACGGTATTCACGAAAAATCTTGATGATTATCGTTGCGTTTGAGATTGAAAGTTCTTTATTGCAGATCAAGATATATGTGTTAAAATATTATTTCATTTTATTTATATATTTAGCTGGAGGATTAATAATGATGATCAATTATTTAAAGTACCACTTGAATTTCTTAGACTATATCATTTACTTTATTTCGACTACGGATTTTTACAGATCTGCAGGATATTGTATCAGATAACTATACACCTATTTCTTTATTTGTTTAGATATAATATATAACGGCCCGGTTTCGCACGGGTAGAGAGGATTTTTGAAAATAATATATAGCCTATGTTACTTGCTGATAATGCACCTTTCAATAGATGAAAGAAGTTTTTTTTAATCAGTAGTATTAGTATGGACAAAGAGTTAATCCTTCTTTGCATAATGGTGGAAATTTTCATCATAACATTGAATGCCCAAAAATTATTATATATAAAAGACTAAGTTCACTTTAAATTGATCGTGTTTTTTGCAATGGACATTAAAAAGGTATCCAGACCTTTTTAATAACCATTGCAAAAAACAAAACATAGCTGTTAAATTTATTTTTTTAACCATTTTTCCTTTAATTTTGAACATGAATTATATCACCTTGATTTATTACAACAATAAAAAAAAAATCATGCAAAGAAGGGTAACTAGGGTAGGGTACCTTTACAGATAAAGCAAATATTTCCTAAAATAATACAATTTTTATAAAAAATATCGATACAGACATTAAAACTTGTTCCGAGAATGCTATATTGCTATTTTATGGGTTGACTTATTAAACACGTCACAGCTGGACAGGATATTAGCTGCAAATCGTTCAACGCCAGCGATCGGTCATCGTCTTAAAGTCGTTTTACATATCCGTTTTACTGCGTATAATTACTGAAGCCGACCGGCGAGGCGACAAAGCTGTAATTAAAGTAACGGAGAGCATCGTTAACATCGAAACCACGGCTTTACTGTCGATTTGATACTTAGGGCAAAAGTCATAACGCCCGAGGAAATGTCTAGTGTGTAATTGAGTGACGGATATTAAGCCACTAAGCGCATAAAGGTACCGTTCGCTCTGTGGTTTGCTTTCTAATTGCCCACAAAAGTTTGTGCAATCTAGATTACACTATATTTATATATAAATAATGATTTATACGTTTAATATAAATGGATAGATCATTTATCAAATTTATCTTCTTTATTACAAACGATTCGAATAAGGAATTAAATCAAATTGTAATTGGTTATGTATATAAAGTGTATCTTAGCATCGATTAATGTATATAATAATCCATGAAATACTGATATAGTTTCTAGTCTGTAACTCTTGTCTCGGCTACCACACCGCTCTCCGTGCCCACTTCCATACTAAACCATGGCGAGCGGCGGCAATGGTGTATGTTGTACTTATAAGGATAGTTCATAGTGGCGGGTGGCGCGGCTGCCGTTTAACCCAATCGCGCCGGCGTCTGTGCACCGAGTCCTCACTTTGCAAGATCGTCCATCTAACGGTCGCCAGGAATGTCGTTAGTATCCAGTTTTTGCTAGCCATGTATTCAATTATAATGTGTTTCCACTCTCACGATTGACGCCTGATCGTAAATCCGAAATTATAGCTATAACGGGAGGCTACTTATTTACAACGCAAGCACTAAAATAATTTACATAAGAATACAATTTTAATCAGTTTTCATTGCTGACCAATGCGACGTTGGTTGGATGGTTAGTTGGTTGGGTATGTCTTAAATTTTGAAACACCAATAACTATAACTTTCATTGTGACGTAGAGCAATTTTAATTCCCATGAAATGTAATGAAATGTACCGTGTTTACGTATTAGAGTGACGTTATAAATGGCTTTGCACGAACAAAAAACCACTTAATTCAAAATCGTGCGCTTAGGAACACGGCTCGAAGCAATCGAAATGTGAGGCGGTTTGAATTTAAAATTTGCACTACATTAATATGGATTGTCGTTTCAATGAATGAATGTCGCCGTGGTCGCCATGCGTGATGAAGTTCACACGGGTAGACCTAAACATTGTAGGCCGCATTTAAATATACTTCCTATGTATAACATAAATACAATACGATTTCTTTGAACTAACCGTGCAGCGGATACTAAATCTGAGCGCACGTGAAAATAGCATCACCTAACATGCAGCGCGGACCAAACACGCACAGACCTTTACAGTTATTCAATGCTGTGATGGCGAGGAGATGAGACTCTTGCGCACAATTTTGCACTATAATGACATAATATCTGTAGAATCTTATTTTTCTTTTACTTGCAAAAAGTGAAAAGGTAAAACCATTGGAACATTCATTTATCTTTCTTAACTTTTTTATAGCACAAAAACACAAGGCTTGTGTGCTTTTGTGCTATCGCTATGTGCGCTTTACTAAACATACATTTATGTTATAGTGGATTAGTTTCTGGTTTTCCAAGTCAAATAATATCAGATATTAATATATTATTTTTTTATATTATTCCCATAGAATAATAACAATTGTTCTAAGAAAATTCTTAGGTAATTATTTGCATGTATTTTTCGTCAATTTTAAACAGATTTTATTTACACTTTTTGTTCTGGCATTATACGAATTATATTACGATTTTAAGTTGATTTTTTTTTACCTAAATTATTATAATTATTATTTCTTCTAATCTTTATTTTATTTATTACTTGATCGATATGTTGTGTGGATACGAGTGTGTGTGACGGGCGAATAGATTGAGCGAGAGGCGATAGCGCGGGCGCCATGTATCGTAGACGGTCATCTGATGAACATAGCTACATATGTATTCCGGGTCACGATCACGAGACAGCGCAACGGTAGAGACCAGTTTCTAGGCAATATACAAATTTATAATTTTGTTAAATATGCATATAAAAGACTATCACATAAATATAACGTTAATAATGTTGTATAATAAGATGCGAACCCGAGACGCATAATAATATTTTAATATTATTCATAAATTATTATTATTTATAGATATTCATTTCATTAATTTCGGATATTTTTTTTATTATTTGCAATTTTAATGGACATGAGACAATGATAATGACAAAGACATTGAAAATATTTATATAATTGAGTATCTCGATCGTCTAAGAAATAAATACATATATTCATATTGCGTAACAGATATTACTTATTACCGGAATTAATTAAATTCGGCATATCATCGACTTCAGATTATATCTTTGGATATTAATTGACTAATAAAAACTAATAGAGAGATAATTATAATAGACAGTTCATTAATCTAGTAGTAGCGATTAATAGATAAGATCGTTTTAATGAAATTATAGAAGAAATGCTGAGTAAGTAGAGAAGTATACAGCTTTACGTAGGCACTTACTAGATAAAGAGGGACTTCTTTGTGGTAATAGCACCTACAAAATTACCTCAAAAATTAATATTAGGGGTGCATTTTAATATTATGTATAGATATAAGGGTAGATAAGGTTAGGCAGTCCTTGAAAAACCAAATCAAACATTATATGAGGTAAAGGCTTATTAATTCAAAAATGGTTTTAACTACTTATTCCTATTACTACAAGTTATATATTTTAACTTCGACTTTTAGGAACACAAATGTAAGAACAACATCTAATTGGGTACAGTAGTTAATGCGTGATGCTAGAATAAACAGACAGATATACAAAATTGTAAAAATTATAGTTTTTGACTTCTTTTATAGCTTATATTTTTTTTCCTTAATATCTGCTATACAGACATTATCAATTTGTTATATGTATATTTACCCGCAGCCGTGCATGCGATGCAAGCGGTGAGCGCGAGCAGCGCCCCTGCCGCGCGCCGCTGATCCATCTGCCGCCTCCCGTCTGCAACAATCACACGACACAATCAATTACTATACAAATACAATTCCCTCTTTACTGATACAAAGTAATATAACACTGACTCATCGCTCCGTGCAACAGCAATGTTTTATTTGCACTGTCTGGGTGGACAAATTATTCAGTTACACATAATGTAACCAACCTACCTATGACACATTTGACTCATACGTTGTTACCTTTTTCTTCTTAATACATATGACTTGCATTATATAAAAATATATGTAAAACTATCTCAGAGATGTATCTAATAGCGTGAAAGTAATCACGAGGTGCCATTAGGTTTTTATATTACTCTTTATTAGTAAAACAATTATACTGTGCTCCATTTAAAATGAAATATTACGGCGACATTAACATTGACTAATTTCTTGGTTTATGGATTCGAAACGGATAATTTAAGCATATCTAAAAGCATTAGATTTTAGTATACTATGGAATAATAATGAATATATGACGATAAATTGTGGACGTAACTTTTATAAATTACTTATGTAGTTACACGTATGTAGGTCTCTACATAAAGCCCTTATGAAGTCGCGAAAATAAAGGACGCGTGCCCGAGTGGAAATGCATACTTGCATCCAAGGAGCAGAAGGGATCGTGCTTGTATGCACCCTCTTGTCTCTTACCAGACACGTACACACAGACACATCAATAAGTTGTTGAATAGCGGAAGTACTCGTAAATATAAACTCGATTTGTTGATACGATGTTCTCATCATTAAATTAAAGAAAATGCGTCATTAAGTAGATAGAAACAGGTAATAAATAGACTGTTATTCAATCATGCTGTAATACCTAACCAAATTACAATGATTAGATCCTTAATTAATACAGGATATTTTTATTTATTTTTACGTAATTCACAATATGCATGCTGCTTGGTACGTCTGATTTATTGAATTTTATGAAACAAAAGTCACTCTGTACAAGATAGTTAATAAATCCTAATACGAATGAGTGAAAATTAACAAAATTCTAATTTTTGCTTCGTTAAGTTAAAATATTATTTCTTGGCTTTCAATGATAACATTTGGGGACAACAATAAGGTGGTTACAACTATAATAAGGCAGAGTAGACTCCGATATAGGGACTACAGTGTAGAGGAAAAGGAACGCGGAAACGTAAAAATGTGCCTATTTAGTTTTAAGTGAATAGGTAGTTTAACTGTCCATTCAGTGGCTGGCACGCGGCCGCCATTCAAAACAATGTTGGCTGTTTTATAGAAACTTCAGTGTAACCCAACATTTCTTGTTTCTAGAAACCGCTGCAAATTTATGTTTATGATAAGAAGTTTTTGTATTTACGATAAGAAATATACTTGTAGACTCATTAAATAAAGGTGTGTGTGGTACAAAAAAGAATATATAAGAAATTACCTTGTAAGTATAAGGTATACTTACAAGGTAACTTCTTATATACATGACATAAACTGGAATAATGATATCTAGGTAGTAGTAGTACGATTTAGTATGATATTTTTTTATTCCTTGTGGTATGATACCTTTTTTAACTTTAGATAAGTATTATTTCACAATATAAATAACATAAATAATATAATTCCGTAGAAGACATTGACTTATAAACAACAACGAGAACAACATATTGTTAGTTTACTCATATTCTTTTTTTAAATTATCAATGGCTAATAGACTATGATTTAACTAAAACAAATATGTATATTAAAGATGACGCACTTATATTTTAAAAGATGTATAAGGACAACGACTAATTCAATTAAAAGGTGATTACGAGCAGCACTATAATTCAAAGCTTTAGCTGTAATTTACTACTTAACTAGGACCATTACTTATGATAAATGCCTTGTGCACAAATACATCCGGGTTTGTTGTAGTGTGTATTAGTAACTGATAAACTTATATTTATGACTAGTACTGAAAGAGTCTATGGCTGTGCATCAAATGTATGTAACTCCAGGTACGAAGGCATAACCTGAGAGTTACCGTGGGAACGCACAAGTCCGCACCCGTTGCTTAGCGCACTTACATGCCTGCCTAGTGCCTACTCGTGCATACCATAAATGTCTATACCTAGTCTCTTACCTACTATTATGTACCGCGTGCACCTTTCACAGAGTTTTCAATGGCCTCCCTCGCAAACATCACTATGCAAGAGAGAAATTTGTTTTTTTTTTTCTTGATTTTTCAATACATTTAAAGTGCAATGTTTATATCTATAAGGTATAAGTTTTTTGTAACTAAAGTTATAGAAAATATATCTATAGTTTCAAATTAAGAATAAATAAATTTATATTTTTTTATTTGTACGTAAGTAACGACGTTCCAGAAATCTAATTCGAAGTTAGGAAAGGTACAAGTATCAACATATACACATGTTTAAAGATAGATGTATCCATAAGGGTCCCTCCGTCTAGACACTCAATGCAAGTCACCTCCGCGCTTTATAGAGAGGGTGAGGGTGCGGAGCAAATTCGCCACTATCTATTTATTTGCTCTACTAAAATACCACGTGTACCGGACATTAAGTGCTATTCACATTCCCGTTTCAATGGTGTGTTATAACATTATTTTTTCCCTGTTTTAGTTTGTAAAAGGAAAAATATTGTACCTACTCTAGTAGGTACAATATTTTTCCTTAATGAACATGTTTTTATAAATTTATTTTTTATTATACATACTTAATCTATAATATAATTTTTATCGATAATCATGAATAGTTAACCGGATAGTTAATGTATCTAAAACATCTAATCTCAAAATAATAAGTATTCTAGTTTAGTTTAAAATGTTATGATTACCCGACAAAGGGAACAATTCTTTTCATGTACACAATGGGAACCCAATTCCCAAGCGTAAGTAATTTGGCTTACCGTTTGTTCCACCGGTATGGCGTCAAAAGTAACAGTTAATAAGATTTAAATAAACATAAATTTGAACAGATAGAAACTCCCATTAGTGAGGTCACAATAATATAGTATATTGTGTAGATAAGCTAGTTTTTATAAAACTGGTTTCTTAATATAAATACAACTATCAGGAAGTGCTACCGCAGAAGATATATACTTATTAATTATTGTGCTACGAAACGCTACGCTACGATTGCATCTACGGATGTTCATAATATCGTTATTTGAATGTTATTTTTTTATGAAAGAACGTAATAATTAAATTGATTGTAGATAATATGTAGTAGAAATAAATACAGTAAAATATTTTATGTTTTACAGAATATAATAAAAATATTCATCACAGCAGGTATTTTGTAAACACTACAATAATTTAAGGTTTCGTTCTACATGAAATTAAAACAATATCTGACTTCAATCGTGACAAAGTTAATACAGTGGCCAATGTGAAAGTAAAGTCACTCGTTTTAAGAAGAATCAGCAAAACTAGTATATATAATTAGTGAACATAGGCCTCGTCCATAAGAGCTTTCGCCAGTAGTTGCCACGCTTGGCAAACGGGTTGGCAATCACAGTTAAGCTTTGGTCATGTTATAAGAAGGACACTGCTGCCCTTCCCTCGACCATTAAATTATGGGCTATGATCAACAAAGGCCAATTAACTGCTGATATGATGCCGATAGTAAAGATAAAACACTAAAAATCCCATCGAATTCCTCAATTTCATTCTTAAGTAGTTTAAAAATATCTAAACTACTAGACCAATGTAATTCAAAAATGGCAAAAATATTTTTTTGAATTTAAAAATATTATAAATGTGGAGTCGTTAACTATAACTTATGCAAGTACACGGTATGCAAATGTCATTGTTTGCACTTATTACGTAGGCTTATGCATAATTTTCAATATTTTACATTACAAACCAGTATAGTAATTAGTAAGTAGGTGAGGTTTTTGAATTAAATTGGAAGGGCGTATCTGTGCAGTAGTATGCAGCGTACGGTCGGTCGCTGAGAAACAGCGGTGGGTCGGCCGGTCGGCCGGTCGGCCGGTCGGCGGACTTGGTGACCGCCCCTTAGCGGCATGTCCGTGCCGTTGTTGCTCAACACATAATTTCGGAACACTGCAACCGCAGCGAACATTGACACCAATTTCTTGAACATTGGACTACAGATTCTGATCTGATAGGAAAGATTTATTGATGAATTCTTGAAGATTAAAAAATCAACTCTATTAAAGAGTAACAATTAAAAAAAATAAAAAAAATACTATGACAAAGACTTGAATTTACAAGTTTCTAGCCTCTACGATACAGTAAAAAGTTGTAAGATCCTGTGTAGTGTGATATCAGTAATTTTCATGTTATTCATTATTTTTCAATCTACCACTAAATCATTATTTTGTTATCAATTTACTGACTAATTACAGGTATATTGAGGCTATTATTTGTTCTTTAGAAATGAAAAGCGTTGGAAAAAAATTGTAAAAACATACAGAACATAGGCTGATGATGATTATTACTATATTCCTTTTTAATAGGTTTATAAATAATTAGTTGATCAACTGCTTGTTTTTAATTTATAGTCGTTTACGCTTTTACAATGTTATTGTTCTATCCCGTAGCATTTCGTAGCACTTCTAAAGTTTTTTTTTGGTCATTAAAAGCAGTAAATAAAACTAAGCCAACAATAAGTTTGCGTTTGATGTGAGATTAGATGACCATCGGTGGCGAGTTCATTCGGCATGAGAACCCCGAGTTCCGCCTCTCTCGCACGCTTCACAATCTCACGTACATTACGTTACCCCACTTTTCTGTTTTCATTAAAACGTAGATACATATCTATAAAACGTTAACTCTATTCTTAATTTATATATTAATAAAGCATTGATTAGGTTCACACGTAACAATTTAAAAGCTCTCTGCGTATATTTTCGCTTGTACGTTCAGTCATCCAATGCGCGCGCGCCGTTCGCTCAATGCGCTCACGTACGCGTGTCGCGATTATCGACGTCGTAAATTACTTGTGATTAGCATAGCAGTCGTGGACATGGCGACGTTGAGTCGTTATTAGATTCGGCTACAATGCGACACTG